AATGGGATTTTTGTGAATTTGATTATATGAACTTGAAATCAGCAGGCATTTACTGAGTTTATCATTTCCCAAACCAAGGTGTGAAGCATTACTATAGAGGACAGGAAAGTCTGTTTTGTTACTTGCTTTCTAGAACTGATGATGTAACATGGATCCAATTTCTCTCTCTCTTTTTTTTAAGAATTATTTTATTCAACTTTATTTATTTATCTCAATTTGACTGGAGAGAGACGGGCGATGGGGGGCGGGGAATGAGACAGCAAGTCGCCAAGTCTGGGTTTTCAAACCGTGGTTGGCCATGTGGGAATCCAGTGCCCTTAATCACACCACCTGCTGGCCCCCAACATGGATCCAGTTTCAAAAGATAATTCATTTAGGGACCAGCAGATAGTGTAATGTTACATCACTATACTCCCACATGGTTGACCATGGTTCAAGTCCCAGATCCAGAGGCTTAAAATTCATGCCAGGTGCGCGTGTGCCCAAAATCTCAAGAGGAGAATGGTGGAGTAGGGGTTGTGGTGTGGCCATTCCCCCTGGGGGGTTATTTCTTGCTCTCTGTCTCTAAAATCTATCTTTAAAATAAATTAAAAAATAATAATAATAATTCATTTAATTGCCTTTAAAATTAGAATGTCAGAGGCCAGGAGGTGGCATAGTGGTTAATGCACTGGATCCCACATGGCCAACTGCAATTCGAGTCTCATATGTGGCAACTTGAAAATCATACCAGGCACATAAATGTGCGTGCTCTAAAATCCCTAGAGGAGAATGAAGAAGGGGTTCGGGCATGGTTATCCCCCAGAGGGCGATATCGCTCGCTCTCTCGCTCTCTCTCTTTCTCTTTCTCTCTCTTTCTTTCTGGCAAGGGCATATACCCAGTAGCAAAAACTAAAAAACAAAAACAAAACCCAGAAAGGACTCTTAGTACATACAACCAGAGAAGCCCAGGCCTAGGGTCACAAGCAGAAGCCCTGGGGTCGTTCCCTTATGGGTCTGGCTCTGGCTTTCTCTTACCCTGTTCCTGACCCAGGTAGCTGAGAAAGGTCCACCACAGACTCAGTTTCATCTGAAACCCTGGAACCTAGATCACTTCCCTCAGCGCACAGTTTATGTAGTGCTGCCACAGGGGAAGAGTGAGTGACAAGCAGCAAGAAACAACTATAAGTAAAACTTTCTCTTTATAAGGCATTTACTTCCAGTTCTTGGACTATGTGGAGCTACTCTCCTAAGGCGGTGCAGACTTCTCAAACAAAAATGCAAGGACAGGGGCTAGCAGGTGGCAAAGTGGTTAAAGCACTGGACTCCCACATGGCCAATTGTGGTTCGAGTCTTGGACCTGATGGCTTGAAACTCACGCCAGGCACGTGTGTATGTTTGTCTGTGTGTGTCCAAAATCCCAAGGGGAGAATGGAGAAGGGATTGTGATGTAGCCATACCCCCTGGTGGGTGATTTCTCACTTTCTCCATCTCTCGTCTCTCTAGCGAGGACATGCACTCTATAGCAAAAATCTCTTTAAAAATAAAAAAAGGCAAGTACAAACAGCTTTTCTTGAGCATTCTGTTTTAGAGACCTGTCTTCCCCTATTGGGCTATCAGAATTCCAGCTGCTAATTGCTTAACCTGTTCTGTTAAGGTAACATTTATTGAGTGTCTGCCCTGCGTGAAGCTTTCTGCTGATTCTGGAGACAAATTGAGATCACAGACTGTCCTTTCAGGGGGCTCCAGCAGGGAAGGGCCCTAGCAGTGATTGTATGTATATATGAAGACACAGGAACAAGGGATTGAATTCTTGGGGGAGAGAGTCAGAGAAGACTTCATGGAGAAGGTGACCTCTGAGTTGAATTTTGAAGAGTGAGTAGAAAGATGCCAGCTCTCTAGGCAAAGAATGGTTCTTTGAACCTGTGCTTGACCCATGTGTTGCTCATCCTCAAGGAAGCCCTGGTCTTGGAGAGATGGCAAGAACCTGAGGACATATGGCTTGAGTGCCAGGGCAAGGAAGTGGAATTGTATTAGGTTACAGACAGACAAGTGGCAAGGTCAGGTTGTATCCTAGGAAGCTCCAGCTATATGATACCAGTTGGTCTGCACATGAGGGTAAGAAAAGGAAGAATCTTGACAGTTTTCAGATTCAGACTTTGAAAAGACTTTTAAAACTTATTATTTCTTCCATGAATAAGAGAGAGAGGGAGAAGAACAGCATCCCCAATAAGGTCTGGATGCCACAGGCCACACCCAACCTCTTACAGACACAGATGTGGGTCATGGGCATGTGTGCACCCAGTGTACTCAGGTCTCTGGGTATACCCCTGGCACTGTCCCATGTGGGTCAGCTGCTCAGAGCCCTGTGTTTTATCAATGTAGCACTGTTGAGCCCTCCCAGGCTTTGAAAGGATTTCTGCAAAAAGACACTGAACAGGATTCTAAAGCCCTGCTTATCCTTAAAAGAAAGAAAGTGCCCTTTTGAGTTCTTAGGACATGATGACTGAGCTGGAATACAGGAGCATTGTAGTTACATTGAGATACCAGTAGGGTATTCTTGACCCCTATCTGTTCATGCAAGTGAAACTGTAGGCTTCTAGCCACTCTACACAGTATTTGTGTTCATGGATAGTTTACTGGCTCCGCTGAAATATCTCATCTTGAAACAGGGCCTCTGTTGACTCTTTAGAAATGTTGGCTTTTCTTCATAAGAGAGTAAATGTTGTTTGTGCCAGAAGGTTCTATGTTTTTCTGTATAAAAATATGTCATGACTTTTCCAACGACCAATACCTTACTAAGATGATGTAGGTTACTCTGGTGTATAACAAGTAGTCCCTACACCCATGATTACATTAGTCCATTTTTTTTTTAATGCTTTACTTTTTTTTTTTTTTTTTTTTTTTAGAGGTTTTTGCTATAGGGCGCGTGCACTCGCTAGTCAAGTCCTTGCCTATGTTAATGTTCCCAAGAGTTTCCTCTGTGTTATCTACCAGTAGTTTTATAGTTGAGGTCTTAGGTTTAGATCTTTTTTTGAGTTGATTTTTGTTAACAGTGAGAGACAGGAGTCCACTTTCTTTTTTTCTGCAGGTGGATGCCCAGTTTTTCCAGCACCTTTTGTTAAAGAGATGTTTTGGGTTTTTTTTTTTTTTTTTTTTTTTCAGTTTGGGATATGACCTTTATTGAGCTTATCCACCAGAGTGGATATAATGTCTGTACAAAACCAAATGTTTGTTACTATAACTTCTGCATCACAATTAAAATCCAAACAGTTTTTTAAAAACAGTCAACTCAGTCAAAACCCACTACTTCAGAATCAATAGCTTCTTTGAACCCATAGTAACACTGAAATATGGTTAAGACTCGAATGCAGAAATTTGGTTGGTTGGAAAGCTAATTAAACTTCCAACTTGCTCAAATAGAATTACAAAAAGGCAAAATTGTATTTTTCACAGAGATACAGTCCACTGGAATCAGCAACACTGGACAGCTGTTAGAGTATTCAGAGTCCTGAGATAATAAGGAATCCAGGCATCCTTTAGACAGTCTTCTGTTTGTAGCCTTGATGAGAGAGTCCAGTTCCTCATCTCCATGAATAGCAAGTTGCAAGTGGCAAGGAGTAATACGCTTTACCTTTAAGTCTTTTGATGTATTTCCTGCCAGTTCAAGTACCTCTGCAATGAGGTACTCCAGGATCGTAGCATTGTACACAGCAGCAGTCGCGCCCACACGTCCATGGCTGGTAGTCCTAGATTTCAGGTGTCGATGAATACAGCCCACAGAGAACTGCAAGCCAGCCCTCTGCGAGCGGGAAACCGCCTTTGTCTTGGCCTTTCCAGAGTCCTTCCCAGCCTTACCGCCAGCCATTTTGAATTCTGCTGAAGCTCACATAAGCAAGGCAGGAAAAGGGCTAGTCAGACACACAGCAAGAGCCACCAGCTACTCCTTCGTCACACCACGATTCAAACTCTGGCTTTTCTTCATAAGGGAGTAAATGTTGTTTGTGCTGGAAGGTTCTATGTTTTTCTATATAAAAATATGTCATGACTTTTCCAACGACCAATACCTTACTAAGATGACGTAGGTTACTCTGGTGTATAACAAGTAGTCCCTATACCCATGATTATATTAGTCCATTTTTTTTTAATGTTTTACTTTTTTAAAAGAATTGTTTTATTTCACTTTATTTCCTTTCATTTGACCAGAGAGGGACAGGGTGAGAGAGAAAGAGAGAGGGAAAGTTAGAAAGCAAACCACCAGGTCTGGGACTTGAACCACAGTCAGCCATGTGGGAGTCTAGCACCCTTAACCACCATACCACCTGCTGGCCCCATTAGTCCATTTAAAATATATCAGTGTGGGGCCATCAGGTGACGTGGAGGGTTAAAGCCGCTGGACTTCACATGGCTGACTGTGTGGTTCGAGTCCCAGAGCCAGCAGCTTGAAAAACACACCAGGCACATATGCATACATGCCCAAAATCATGAAAAGAGAATAGAGTGCCAGGGTAAGGAAGGAGAAAAGATTGGGGCATGGCTAGCCCCTGGGCAATACTTTCTCACTTTGCCTCTTTCTCTCTGTCTCTGGTGAGTGCATACACCCTATTGCAGAAAAATAAATGTATGTGTATGTTTATGTGTGTGGGGAAGGGAACAGTTTGAGAGCATAGTATGGTAATATCTGCTTAGGTTTTCATTGAGATACCTCTTTTAGGATAAGCTTTATTTGTTGTATAGCTTAGACGACATAAATATTCTCTCACATAAACAAATATTCAGCCACGTAAGCTGTTGATTTTCTTTATATCACTAAGTTATTAAAACTCTGGTGTAAGTAAAAGCGGCTGCAAGTTAGCAGTTGTTCCAGAACCCCCAGGACAAGATTAGGAGATTCTGTTCTTTTGACATCAGTGAGGTGGTTTGGGGAGGAAGGTGTGAGCTTGAAGCGGCAGGTTGCGTTTTTGGTTACTGCCCCATCATACTGTTGTTTCTGCCTCTGCCTGAACCCAAACCCCGCCCAGCTTGACAGAAATGCTCATGCAGCTAGCCCTACCTCAGTGCACTGCATCTTCCACCTGTCGCCTGAGACATCAGAAGCCAATGTCCATGTCAGCCTCTGTGCACCCCAACATGATGTTACCTCCAGTAGACAGTGAAGGACATACCTTCGAGGCTGTGTAAGAAAAACGTGCATTCCTTGTGAAACTAATGCTGTCCCACTGTTTAATTTTGTGCTGTGGGGTTTTTTAGTTAAGATTTTGTTACTGTTGTCTCCTAGGTGTCCTTCCTCCGTATGATTTTGGCTAAGCACATCCAGTTTCATGGTGTCCCTGTTTGTCTGCGTGTGTCTTGTGTCTTTGCAACTACAAAGGGTGAAAGAAATTCCTTCTCCCCAAGCTGCTTAAAGCATGTGAGATTTTATACTTACACCATCGGTGTGCTTCGAAAACCTTTCAGTCACCTATTCAGTTACATCTGCATATCTTTTATTTCTTTCATGTTGGCACGGTTCTCTGGGTGTAAGCAATTTAAAAGGGAAGCAAAGAGGAAATTAGCCATTCTCTATCCTAGAATTTCTCTGCCTTAATCTTGTTCTGGAAAATGTATATATACAGGGACCAGCAGATGGCATATGGTTATGTCATTATGCCTATTCCCATGCAGTCCACTATGCTTTTGAGTCCCAGACCCAGTGACTTAAAACTCATGCCAGGCGTGTGCATGACCAAGATCCCTGGAGGAGAAGGGATTGTGGCGCGGCCATCCCTCCTGGGATGATTTTTTGCTTTCCATCTCTCTGTCTCTCTAGTGAGAATATGCACCCTATGGCCAAAATCTCTGAAGGCGCAGGCAGGTGGCGTGGTAGTTAAGGCAGCTGGATTCCCCACTTGGCTGACTGAGGTTCGAGTCCCAGACCTGGCAGCTTGTTTTCTCACTTTCCTTCTCTCTCTCTCTGCCTCTCATCTTCAATCAAACCAATCAATAAATAAAACGAAAAAAATTAAATGAAATAATTCTTTAAAAATTTTTTAAAAACTCTCAAGAAAACAAATATGTACTATTGCTTTCAACTCCATGAGGCTTTATCTCCTTCATACCATTCTTTTGGTACCCTTTCCCATTTAACTTATCTTTAAAATATCCCCTAAATCTGGATTTTATTTATTTATTTATTTATTTTTTGAGAGAGAGAGGTTTTTGATAGGGTACGTGCACTCACCAGAAAGAGAGACAGTGAGAAATCATCCCCTCAAGGGGGATGGCCACACCACAATTCCTTCTCCTCCATTCTTTTTTCGGGATCTTGAGCACACATGCACACGCGCCTGGCATGAGTTTAAACCACCAGGTTCAGGACTCAAACCGTGGTCGACTACATGGGAGTCCAGTGACAAAGCCATTACTCTAACTGCTGGTCCCTAGATCTGGATTTTTTATACCTGATTTTCTCCACTGTATGCAAAAAGTATATTGTGATTGTGAATTTTTGTGTGCCACGTTTGCTACAAAACCAGGATTTAGTGAACAAAGATGTAACAGTCTCTTTTCTTCTGATCGCAGTACTGTTCCTGATCAAAGAACCCCAGTGGCTTCCACTCACAGTATTAGCAGTGCGACCACTCCAGATCGAATCCGCTTCCCAAGAGGCACTGCCAGTCGTAGCACTTTCCATGGCCAGCCCCGGGAACGGCGAACTGCAACGTATAATGGCCCGCCTGCTTCTCCCAGCCTGTCCCATGAAGCCACACCACTGTCCCAGACGCGAAGCCGAGGCTCTACTAATCTTTTTAGTAAATTAACTTCAAAACTCACAAGAAGGTAAGTGCCAAGTGCTCCTGGTGGTTTTACAAACCCATAGTACAAAAGGAGTGTACCTTTTTCTTCTCAGTGGAGCCACTTCCTGACACTTCTTGTTCTGCTTTTAGCTCATGCTCGTTTGTTTTTATATATATATATTTATATACGTGTGTATACATACACACGGAGTATATGTGTGTATGCACACACATAAAGTCATGACTTTTTATCTATGTTTTTCTATGTAAAAATGACTCATGACTTTTGCAACAACCTTATATATACATATACATACATACTTACACACACATAACTTTGTAGTTTAAAACTTTTAAAATGGGGGCCAGCAAGTGGTATGGTGGTTAAGGATGCAAGACTCCCACATGGCTGACCACAGTTTAAGTCCCAAAACTGGCAGCTTGCTTTCTCACTTTCTCACTTTCTCTATCTCTTTCTGTCCCTCTCTGGTCAGATTAAAATGAATAAATAAAGTTAAAGAAATAAATTTTAAAAAACGTTTAAAGTGAACATCACAGCTCAGTGGTCTTTAACAACTCTAAAAGTTGTCTAGCACTTGGGAGGTTTTTGTTATTGTTCTTTAATTACTGTTTGGGAGAGAAAGCAAGAGAGAGAGTTATTTTAGACAGGGTCTTGCCATGCCATTATCCTTGCTGCTCCAGTTCCGACAGTAACTAGGTCCACAGGTGCGTGCCACTGGGCCCAGCCTAGTTAAATTTTTGGCTAGGAACGGAATCCAAGCTTCTGGTGCTGCCTCAGCCACCACACAGCAGCACCCTTTGGCTTTCCACCACCATGACTAGGCCTAATTACTGTTCCCTTGGATCTGTCTGCAGAGCATGTTTACTATAGCTTTGCAAAACCCCGTCTTGGTGAAGGTAAGGGGCTAGTGCTCTGTAGCAGTCACCAAATGAAGTCCGTGTAATCATTCATTCACAGACACAGAAGAGAGGTGCATTTCCTCTTCTCCCACTTCATTGTCATTAAAGAGCCCTATATTTTTCAGAGTCTAAATCTTGAGGCTCTCTTTTTTTTGAAAAAAAAAAAGATTTTTGCTATAGAGCATGTGTGATTGCCAGAGAGTCAGAGAGACAGAAAGCAAGAAATCACCCCCTGGGGAGAGTGGCCATGTTGCAACCCCTTTTTCTCCATTCTCCTCTTGAAATCTTAGGCACACGCATACATGCACCTAACGTGAATTTTAAGCCACCAGGTCCAGGACTCAAACTGCAGTCAACTACGTGGGAGTCCAGCAACAACTATTGCATCATCTGCTGGTCCACCCCCCCTTTTTTATTTTAATTTGCTACAAGGCATGTGCAGAGAAAGTATCCCCCACGGGGGGATGGCTACATCTCAGTCACTTCTTCTCCATTCTCCTCTCAGGATTTTGGGCATGCATGCACATGTGCCTAATAAGCTTTTCAAGCTGCCAGACCCAGAACTTAAACTACATTCGGCCATTCGGGATCCAGCTGCCTCTACTACCATGACACCAACTGTTGTCTCTCTCGGTCTCATAAGTTATATGGAGAGCAAGATAACCTTAAATGGTGTTGCTTGAAGATAAAATCTCTGGATAATAGTATCTCTTTGTATATAAAATATTTTGTGGGAGGGGCAGGCAGGTGGGGCACGGTGGTTATGGGCATTGGACTCCCACATGGCTGACTACGATTCGAGTCCTGGACCTGGTAACTTGCTTTCTCACTTTCCATCTCTCTCTCTCTCTCTCTTTTTCTCTCTCTCTCTCTCTCTCTGTCCCTCTTTGGTCAAATTTAAATAAATAAATAAAATAATTCTTTTTTAAAAAAAAATGTATTTTTTGTAGGCCAGCCAGTGGTGTAGACCAGACCTGGCTGCTTGAAAAATGCATCGGGTGGGTATGCTTGCTTGCCAGAAGTCCTGATAGAGATTTGAGAAGGGATTGTGCCATGGCCATCCCTGTGTGTCGGGGGGTGCTTTCTCACTTTCTTTCTCTCTCTCTCTCTCTCTCTCCCACCCACCCTCAGCAAGTATACACATCCTATAGCAAACTCAATATACTTTATTTATTTTTGTTGCATGACTGTCCCCCTGGGGAGGGCTTCTCACTTTTCCTCTCTCTGTCTTGCTGTGGTTAGCATATATGCCTTGTAACAAAAACTAAAATAATAATAATGTCATCCTATTTTGTTTAAGCTTGCAAACCGAGGTCCGTTTGTCTTCCTTAACGATATACTTCAGTTATGGGTGGTTTATTTTTTTTTTTTTTAAAGAATTATTTTAGTGAGGGACCAGCAGTTAGTATAATGGCTGTGTCACTGGACTCCCACATAGTCGACCACAGTTCGAGTCCCGGATCCGGTGGCTTAAACTCATACCGGGCGCATGTTTGTGCGTGCCCAAGATCCCAAGAGGAGCGTAGAGTAGAAGGGATTGAGGTGTGGCCATCCCGCTTGGGGGGTGATTTCTCACTTTCTGTCTCTCTCTGTCTCTCTCTCTCTGTCTGGCAAGCGCACGCGCCCTATAACAACAATCTCTAAAAAAAAAAAAATAATAATTATTTTAGGGGCTGGCAGGTGGCATAGTGGTTAAGGCACGGAGTTCCTACATGGTTGACCATGGTTCAAGTTCTGGACCTGGCAGCTTACTTTCCCCTTTCTTGCTGTCTGTCTCCCTCTGGTCAAATTTTTAAAAAACAAATAAATAATAATAAAATAAATTAAATGTTGCCTTTTCTTTTTTTTAAAGCAACATTTAATTTAATTTACTAATTGATTTATTTTAATTTGACCAGAGATGGCTGGGGGGGGTGGGAGGGAAGTAAAGCGAGAAAGAAAGCCACCAGGTCCAGGACTTGAACCGCAGTTGGCCATGTGAGTCCAGCACCCTTAATCACCAAGCCACCTGCCGGCCCCTGGGTTTTTTTTTTTTTTTAGAAAAATTTATTGGGGACCAGCAGGGGGGGGGGGG